AAATTTGCGCCCAAAACCACAAAGCGCCCACAATACTCGCGCCCAAATACGACGATAACGCGTTAAGTAAATAATCCAGCAAGTATGATCGCAACGTCAGAAAGAGCATTTTTATTATACGCAAAAGGGAAAGAGTAAAAAAAAAATATAATAATAATAAAATCTACAAAGGAAAATAGGGCGCCTATTCGCTATCACTCAGCGCCTGAGTTGGCATCACCAGCGCTAGGCGCCTTGGGAGAAGGAGAGACGGGAACAGAGTCATGTGGAGGCTCCTCCGTGTTTGATGGCTGGGGCGCATTCCCCGCTTCCGGTGGAGTCTCCAACTCCCCGATCACATACTCGGCGATTTCGGTGAAATCCCAAGTAAGATCAGGGTGATCCCTTTCCAGCTTGCTGTGAAAGATTTGGAGGCCGGACAAAATGGCACTGGCGCTCATGTTCTTCCCAGCCTCGGACTCTTCGAAGGTGTCCAAAGAGTGGCGCAAGTTGGTGATTTCTTTCCGCGCCTCTTTCAGATTCTTCTTGCAGTCTTTGTAGGCGTCCTGCCACCTCTTCTTCTTCTCCTTGAGGATGTCAATCTCACTAGCCTGGGCGCCTGCCTCCTGCGCCAACGCCTCCTTCTCAGCCTGAAGGGTGGCTGACTTATTGCGCTCTTCGTCGAGGGCGCCCTGAATCTGCGACACCTGCAGGGCCGCATTCATCTGCGCCTCTTCGCATTCCTTCACGAGTTGCTCGCGACGCTCGGTCGCGTTCTCCAGGTCATGCTTGAGGGAGGAAACAGAAGTAGAGGCCTCGAGCGCCTCCCGCTTGGTTTCAGAGAGGCGCTGGGCGCCTCTCTCAGCAAAAAGAAGAATCTACACACACAAAACACAAAGAGTTAGCACTTATGCAAAGTTAGTATAAAAAAACTCAAGAACACAAACAAAGTGGAACATACCTTGGCGCCCACTTTCGCCAGTTCAGCAAAGAGGTGATCCCCATTCACCTCCGACGGCACTTGCCACATCTTGGCAGCCGTAATTGCCATTCCCATGGCACAGCCCCTGTCGACAGCCACCAGTGGGGAACATGGCAGCTCTATGCGCGCAACGTCGGCGCGTGTGGGCTGGAATATGGGGGGGCGCCCATCGGGGCCTACATACTGCCCCTCTTCGTTTAGGTGGTATTCGAAGGCGCCCCCTCCCCCGCTTCGGGTGCCGGCGCCCATCTTTTCCTTCTCTTTGTCAGCCCTCTTGCTGACATTATCCAAGGGGGAGCCAGCCCGCTTCCCCCGTCTAATCAAGGGCTCGGGTTCCTCTTCCCCGGAGTTCCCCTCCTGCAAATCAGATGGGCGCCGTCCTTTTCTGCGGAAGATAACTCGACGGGCGCGTTAAACTCTTCAACGCTCCCCAGCCTCCACTCTCTCAGGAAGGCGCCCCCACTCTCGAAAAACGAGTCTCGGTACGCCTTCGTGAAGAAGAACCCGTTAAACCAGCTGCGCCCCAACTTCGGGCACTTCTCCACAAAGTGATTGGGGCGCCCTTTCCTCTTTTGAAGCGATAAGCAGTTGTCAAGAGGCGCCATCTTGAAAAAATACCGAAAGAGGTTGAAGGTAGGCTCCACATTATATTCGCGGCATCTCAGCTTGAACAAGATGACCACCACGATCACCGTGGGAGACAGGCGCCCCAATGGGCAGCCACAGGTCGTCAGAATACCCTCCATTATGTGGTCGAGTGGGAACCGCAGCCCGAAGCGGTCACGGGGAACCGCATACCACCAGTCACGGGGTAGTTGGAGACTGGTCACCAACTCATGAACACGAGCCAAGGTGACGGTGGAGGTGTGCTGTGGGCCCGCTACGTCGAAAGGCAACGAGTCCGTCTCCTTCAGGAGGTGATCGGGCGGAAATGAGTTCTCCCACACGGAAATCTTGTACGATCCATCGGCGGGCATGAAGCCTGGAGTGGAGGCGCTTAATGGACCCGCGGACGTCGACGCAGGAGCCCTCTCTAAACCAATAAACGACCCAGGCGCAATGTGGACGCGGAGTAAGTGACGCCCTACCCTAGATAGCTAGAATAAAGACAAGGAAAGCAACTAATAGATCAAGGAAATTCCTTACCACTTCGACTTGGGCGCCTCGCCTCGCCACCCGCATTCGAGGCGCCTGTTCTTGCCTCTTCACCCGCAGTGGGGGCGCCCTGGCCGACGACCTTGTCTGCTTGCGAAGACATTCTTGGACGAGTAGAAGGAAAAGCTGACGAAAGCGCAGAGGAATCTAGAGAGATGTCAGGAGAGAATCTAGAAAGAAGTCAGAGCGAAAATTCTAGAGAGAGGCGAGAATGTGGAAAGTGACAAGGACTGAAGGGTATGGGGGTATTTAAAGGAAAGGAGGAGCATGTGGCAAGACGCGCGTCGCGCGCCACGTGTCACCATCAAGGGCGGGCTTTTGAGCTCCCCCCCACCTTTTCCTTTTTGTTGGAATTTTGGCCAGATTTAAGATCCTCTTTTCGAATTTTTTAAATTAAATTCGAAATATTTTTCAAAATTCAAACAAGAAAAACGTGGGAGCCAATATCAAATGCCCGCCCGTGAGGGGGGCATAAGGGATAAAGGCGCCTTAAATCTGGCGCTCGGAAAGAAGCTGAATAAGGGCGTGTCGAGAGTGAGGCGCCCAATAAAAAAGGGGGAAGAGAAAGAAGGCAAAGAAGAGAGTGAGGCGCCCAATAAAAAAGGAGGAAGAGAAAGAAGGCAAAGAAGATAAAACAAGGAGGCCGAGCAAGCCGAAGTCGGGACTGAAGTCGGAATAGACAACACGACAACAGATGGCCAATAGAGAAGTCGGACACCATAAGGACGGACGCACTCAGGAAGCTGGGCGCCTGCTGACTAGAGGAAGGACAAGACAACAATAACTGAGTCAGCTAGGCGCTCAGAAGCAGAGCTATGAGCACCTAGCTGGGGGGCAATTGTTGGGGGTATTGTGAACAAAGCCCAATGGGCGACAGTGTGGGCTCACAAACAGCCCAATTGGGGGGCAAGGCCCAAGCAAAAGGGAGGGGACATAAGGACAAGACACTAGAAGCCAAAGAGGGCCAGACTGTCATGTGGTCCAGCGTCTGCGAGCGCCTGTCACGTGCCAGGAGTCTGACAAGCTGGTTGGGATGTCTGACCAGAAAGGGACAAAGCATTAAATGAAGGCAGGGAAGTAGAGAAGATCAACCTCGAACTCTGGTGAGTATAAATAGGGGCAGTTGGTAGCATTTACACAGGTTGGACTCTCTCTCTCTAAACCCTAGTTTGAGACACTTCTCTCTGAAAAGAAACTAACTTGGGCGTCGGAGGATTAACGGGCCCAGGCGCCCCCTCCTTGTTCGTGTGTGCAGAGCGGCGCCTAGTGAGAAGGGATTCCAGAGGATCGTACGAGGGTAGCGTGTCACAAACAGGTAGTAAAATATAATCTGCCAATAATCAATGAATCCACCAATTCAATTGGATTTCAGATGAATTAGATTAGTTGGATATTTTAATGGATTGAATTAGTTGGGTATTTTAACAGATGTATTGAATTTGATTGGTGAATTGGATTAGATGTTGCCACCTCTAGTTTAACCTGTCAAAAGTTTTACCATCTTCTTATTCATGGCACCACTGTAGAGCTTTTTACCCCAAGTCGGAATCGTCAGTGTTCATAGCTCTCTACTAGAGGCATTAAACGGGAGATTTGATAGGATTAGATAATTGGAAAATTCGTAGTTTGGGTTGGAATTGAAGTGTCTTTTTTTAATACAAAAGATAATAATGTATATTGATTGGAAGAGAAATCATTACATCCTAGAGTTTAACCAGACTATAAAATCAAAGAATCGACACGTAGTCGGGTACAATAAAAGGGTCTTTCTAGTCATCAAGTGGGCTACCTATTGCTATTCCGACTTACTAATCTAACAGTCAATCTCGCATACCATACCAAAGATAGCAAGACCTTTTCAAAGATGGCACCAGCCTGATTATCACGGGCAGTGGCAGACCAATGAATCTTTCATAGGGGTGTCCTTTTTAAAAAAAATAAAATATAAATAAGAAAATACCTTACTCGTACAGGTTAAAAAAGTCCATATGTGTCTTCATATTCTGAAATAATTGTAGAATAAACTTGGTGATGTCTACAATGTTAAAAAAGTTGTCTCTATATAACCTACTAGACAATCATTCACGAACTTATCGCATATTCGATTTGTGAACTTGTTCTTGATGTAACTCAAAGCTGAAAGATTCTTTCAACACATGTTGTACAACTATAAAATCAATACAAATTAAGGGTAATTTGAAATTAGTTTAATTGCTAGATTTTGAAAATAATTAGAGATAGAAATGATATTGTACTATGATACAGTGTTCAAAATCGAACAAAAAATGAGTTGTAGTTTAATGGAAATTAAGTTTATTAATAATAATAGTGCTCTAGGCTTGAATTACCCAACCTACCGCTTATATTCTCATACACAAATTTAGAAAATGACAGTAGAATAATCATTTTTTTCAAATTTCAGGGGTGTCCCTCACTATAATTTTTTTTATTCATACGTAAATTACCACCGTGGATTGAATAATCGTTTTCCCAAAATTTAGGGGTGTCCCGGGACACCCCCTAAAGCCCCGTGCGTCCGCCCCTGATCACGGGTATCTGGATGATTAATTCTATCAATAAACACTTTGACATCACCCTCAAGCAGCACCTCCGTGAAGCCCATGCCCAAACACCATCGTATCGCTTTCTGGAGAACTTGGAGCCCAATTATCATAGGATCATCAATCCCTAAACATTGGATTCCTGTAGCCAGAATAACATTTCCGGTGTGGTCTTTAACGATCATTCCCCCAGCCGAATAATACCCTAGTTTTGTCGCCCTATCCCACATACAGGTAATAGAAGTCAGAGTTCTCTGATTCACATTACTAGTTATCAGGGTGGGCGACTGCATAACCCTATCCGGAGGCAAATTGATTGATTCCTGGTATTATTGGTTATATTGTCGCAGGGATCCCAAATTGTTTGTCATCGAAGACAACCCAATTTCGGGAATGCCAAATCCGTCAAAGGATTCCAACGATCGCCATAATTTGATGAGGGTGATTAATTAGAGCCAATAACTTTTTCAGGAATAGAGGGAAAAGTATGTTGTGGAAGCCTTGACCGAGATGTTCAAATCCAGAATAATCCCGTAATGTCTGTGCCACCGGGAATTCTAGAAAAAGATGTTCCATCGTTTCCAATTCTGCCCCGCACACCAGACATTTGGGAAGCACCTGAACTTCCCTTTCAATAGGAGCTTCCGTCGTAGGACGGATTCGGTGTAAGATTTGCCATAATAAAGCTTAGGGGGTCACCCTGACGGAGGCCACGCGTATGTGTAAAGAATCCTGAAAAAGTTCCATTCATAAGAACTGATCACGACGACGAACTGCGACATTCCTAGATCTCTCGTCTCCAGGTTAGGTTGAGTCCAAAATTTCCAAAACAACGAGGAGAAATAATCAATCAACTATATCATAGGATTTTCCCATTTCGAACTTTATAGTCATATATCCTTTATTGCCTCAAGTTTTGATTTTTAAATAATGCATAAGCTTGTGTTATGACATGACATTTTCCACATTTGTCGTTTCCAGATGAAGGCATTTTGCCCTTAACTAAAAAATTTAAGCATAACAAATATTTTATTCTTGAAGATAATTGTGAGTTATTAATATGTTATTGATATAAAAGTTGATCGAAAATTCAAGCAAGGTAGCCCCAAAAAATCCTTCTTTTTAAAGTCGCGGAATTTCCAATTCTTCAATTCTCAAATAAAAAAATAATAGAAGAAATTCAGTTTTCATTTGAGGCAAAAATTGAACCAGTCTTTCTTACATAGTCTTCGCTATAATCTTATACACAAATTAACATAACCTTATTGGCCTAAGTTGTCTCAAGGTCTCTCCATTGTATAGTAACAAATGAAATTTACAATGTTTGCTCTTAGATGCTATTATCGAAGTTAAATGATATGCCAAAGCAAATAAATATAGTACACACATTTGAACGTTTATTCTATCAGAAAATATGTGGACGTTTGAATGGTGGAAAATTGTGATTGTTACTGTATTCGTTTTTCTAGTTTTGTTTTCCATGCATAGTACATGTTTTGTTTTTCTGTGATGTGACTAACTGTCACTGAAAATGAGTAATAATTACATATAAGTTTTTAGATACGATCGTTGATATTGTTATACCTTAACTTTTAAGGTCGTTCATGTTCATAATCATACATTACTAAACGTTGTATCTTATCATGTAAGAACTTTTAACTTAAATAAAATACACACTCACACATTACCAAATATTGTTGTAGGAGTCCCAACTTCCAAACTATAGCAATTCCAGATGGGTAATGCAGGAAATTGAAGTGCGAGGCAAATTTCGGTTCAAGAAACCGCCCCGATAATCACTTATTCCAAACTTTTTTCTTTCCCCTAAAAAAAAAATTCCTTCTTTGGCGGCAAGGCAAAGCGACAACAGAGCCCACAAATAGTTCCGTAATTAGTTTGGGCCTATCCTTTCCAAGGAGAAGTTTTGCCTGATTTGATATTAATGGGCTTTTGTTCGACAGGCCTTTTTACCGCTTCTGCCGAAAGGAAGAAGAAAAAAAGTGCAGGTACAACAAAGCATGTTCAACAAGAAGTGCAGTTTTTTTTTTGCAGTTTCGAGTGGAAGGAAAGGGCAAACTTTGTTACAAACCATTACATAAAACCCACATTTATATACAGAGTCGGCAAACGTAGCATATCATTATATTGGCCCTGGAAAGACGCCTCGTTCCCTCTGATCATTCCACCTCTCAATCTGCAATCACACAACCATGTAACAATGATCGTTAGGTACTTACGCCGCGTATCAAGAGGAGGAAAAAACTCGGAGTAATGTAACTAAGATTACCCATTCAGATGGACACAGAGAGCGGTAATACTTGGCAAATTTCTCACACTCATGAGCTTTGTCTTTGTCCTTGTGTTTCAGACACCTACATGCAACCCCCGATCATCCATCACATTAAATACAAGTGTGAATTAAAAAGCTAGCTAAGCATTCTTGAGCTCAGTGTTTCGACGCGACGCTCCTTACTTACTTACTTACCTGTGGTACTCGATATATCGGGTGTAGCAATGGCGAGTTTGGTTGTTGGCAGGGAAGCGAATGTCTATGGGAGCTGTTCCCGGCTCCAAAAACTTTCATAAGGGTGAAAGAAATCAATTAATTGGATTCCTAAGTTATACTTAATTAAATCAAATTGAAATTAATATAGAAACTCTTTAAATCAAGAAAGCAACAAAATCATATCATTGATCCCGGATCAATAACTCGAATCGGTGTGATCGACATGCTAAGAGATTCCTAAACCATTTCCATCCTCTCCGCAATGATTATAATCCACCTAGGACGCACCACAAACTCATACATACCTTTGTCATGAGCCGATCGCGGTCACGATCATCGTCGTGATCGTACTGGCGAGGGTCAGGATCAGGTTGCGAAGGGCGCTGGCTAATCTCGCCAGGCTCGTGAGGAGGCCTAGGCGCCTGCTCCCCGCGAGCCACCTTGTTCACGTCCCTCGACCTCATCTTGTCATGTGGCTCCACCTGAGCCGCCGACATGGTTGATACTCAAGCTTGATATCTCCCTTTCACTTCTGAATTCTTCCTATCTTTCTTGGTGCCCGCCGCTTCGTTTTTTTTTCTTCTTTTCCTGAGAGCTCTCTAGTTTTAGCCTATATATGCGCTGTTCGTCAATGGCCATGGAAGCGCGGTGGTCAAAACTGGACACACTCGTTCATTTGTGAGATGGACACCTGTGGTGATACGTGGATATATATGGCCAGCTGGCCTATCAGGTGAAAAGAAGGCCCAACTAATTGTTTTTGGATGTTGATTCACTCTTGGGCCAAGAGAAGGCCCATCTGCTATTGTCCGTAGACGAATGACTTCAACGCAAGGAGATAGATGAAGGTCGAAGAACCAGGAGGAAACGAGGATCGAAAGGGTTGAAGAAAGATCTGGAAAAAGCGAAAGTTTTGTAGGAGCAGTGGATAGATAGACTGTGAGATTGCTGCGGGTTTCAATCATGGCGTGGAGAGGCCAGCTTTCTAAGAATCTCAAGGAGCTTCGTATTCTTCTCTGCCAGTCATCTCCTTCAAGCTCGTCCACTAGGTTAAATTTTTTTCCCTTTCTAATCCTTCGCCCCCATTTCGCCTTCTTCTATCACTGTTTCAAAATTGACGGCTTTGATTGATGAAATGCTTATGGCAGAGCTTTCATCGAGAATAATTACAAGGATCTCAAGACTCTCAACCCCAAGCTCCCAATCTTGATCCGCGAATGCAGCGGGGTCGAGCCCCAACTTTGGGCTAGATACGGTAAATTTTTTTTTTCTTCTCATTTATCATCCGTTTATAATAACGAAGCTAGCTTTGATTACACGTTCATGGGATACCCATGGCTTTAGAGGCACCGGGATGATTCTTGGATCGTTTTCCCCTCAATCTAAGGTAGTTGTTTAGGTTTTCCCATTAGCTAGTTCTTGTTTCCCTAGCGGTAGTTTAATTTCTGTTGCTGGATCAAGTTATAGAATTTTCGCTTAGCCGGAGGTAATCACTATGTGAATTAGCTTTAGATTCAATCATTTTTGGTGTTTCTGATTCATTTAACCTATTGGGCTATATGATATGCTTGTGGGGTTCTGGAATTGGACCTATTTTGAACGAAGGATAGGGTGTACTGTGTAGTAGTAGCATTAGGCCTTCTCTGCAATTTTAGCCATTCAAAGTTGGGAATGTAAATCTATTGACTGCTTAACTTTCTGATGGAAGATTACTTATGGATTCCGCTGAAACTAGCTTCAGATTGGTATTTGGAACTATTGTCGAATTTCTTCAGTATTGTTTAACCGGGTTCGTAACCAAGTTCATCATTCGCCTGGAAATATTTGAATATGAACTCTGCCCTCCCTGTTGTTTCTTAACACATTAAAGTTAGTTAGGCTTGGTAGAAGCTATAACGTGATGGTAGACCATTAGGTACTGCTTAAGGTCATTATTGCCGTCAATCATTAAATGGCTTGAGCGATTAGAGCGTGGAGAGTTGTTGGCAGACCAGGGCGAAACACACTGCACATATCTCCCTTTAACTGGTTGAACACTAGTATGTCCTGAATACTCTTTCGGTTCTGTAACGTAGGGCTCAGTGGTTGATTGTTTGTTCTCCCCATTAATATTTGGTTACAATATGTCTCTTCCCTATTCAATTGTCTTTTCCTTCAGACATTTTTTGGATGACCTTTTCCATATCGGTGTTCTGGTTAGATTGCTTCTGTTTATCTGCTGATGTTTAGAAATCTCAGTCATGCTAGGAGGTACCTTGCGGGGGTATATAAAGTATAATATCTGACTGCACAGTTTGGTTACTAGGGCTTTGATGCGCTTCATTGCCCATTAGTTTCTCATTGATACTACTGTAGTTTGATGCATTTCCCAATCCTTCATGCACTGCGAAGGTTCTATGATCTATGTCGTTTAGTGAAATGATTATGAGTGATTGCCAATTACAAGGCGGACTGGCTTCCATGGCTATTGTTCTTGTTCAATCTCAATCACCTGCTTCCCTTCCTTTATCCGTTGCACTTCATTTCATCCCGTCTGCTGCTGCGTTACTTATTCAGTCTCACTCTAACCGTGTTGTCCAATTCCTTTTGATCCATTTTTAGACATGGGTGTGGAGAGGGGTGTTCGTTTGGAGGGCAAGGACGAAGCACAGATCTCGAAGGCCCTGGAAGAGCTTGTGAAAGTAGGAGCTGCCCTAAAAGCTTGATGCGGTTGCACTTCATTCACATTGGTTCCAACTGTAAGAGCAGTGAAATAAATATGGTACTGTGTTTAAGAAAAGATCTCACCTTGTCAGGTTTTGCAATATTTGCTGCTGCATTGCTGCCAGTCTGCTCTTTGCATTTATGCTTCGTAGTTCCTTCCCCCCTAAAGATGGGAACCAAGACTAGATTAGCTAGCTGGTTCATTTCTTTGTTCCTAGGGGTTGTAATAAAGTGCGGTTGGGAGTTGGAAATTTGATTGAACTAATGCACCGATTCAATCTGATTTTAATCTAAACATTGCTTTATACTTTGGATTGAAGGCTCTTTCTTACCTGTTCAGTTCATGGATACATGGTGGATTTGCTGTGGTGGATGTGGCCAAGATGCACTAGCTGTGGCCAACTGGCGTATGACTTTGACTTCATTTCGTAAATGAATGGATTCATTGCTCCTGAAAAAAGTAAAAACAGAACAGTGACGATATTCATGGCTCTGGTAAAGTGTCTGGTTAGTTGGGTTAAAGGTCTCGTGGGTCAAAACAAGCCGCGTGGAGAAACAGATAGTTTTGTCAATTTGTGCTGGTTTTCTACCGGATAAAAGCATAAAAAGTGGTGGAGGGGTCGGCAGATGGTGTCGCTCTCTCCAAGATTTCCAACCTTTTCTCACCCTTTTATTTCCCTGGTTCGGAATAGATAAACCTATATACGTTTTTCCCCTTCTCTTTTAAGGCTGAAAAAACACCGATAGATGCTAAAAGCTGTTCGTATTCATGAACATGTTTCAAAGTTTCATGTGTTTTCTATCGTTAGATTATATGACGCAACGTATTATTTTATAATGCGTTGGTTTCGTAAGTAACATAGATATATTGTTGTAATGAGTAGAAATGCATAATTAGTGCCATCAGAGTGTGAATGCTCATTCTTATTAGAATAATACGAGAATTATCAAAAAAATTATATGATTAGTTGTACAGTTGAAGTGACAACATACTATTACTACTATATCGTATCTGTTGTTGGATCAACGCGAATGATTCGAATTATTGTGTCGTGTCTATGGCCGTCAATAAGGGCCATTAACACATTCGATCAATTAGGCAGTGTACCTTATAATACAACATTTACTTAACTAGAGTTTTGCAGCAAGAAAATTTAACCAGAAGTGGAGATTAAATCTGCTAGTCCTCACCCCTCCACAGTCTCAACACCATCATAACCAGATCCAATCACGGTCCAAAGTGCTAGACTTGCCGAATAATTAATCGATTAATTAATCCAACATCACAATAATAACAACAGTAACACATCAAATCTCAAATACTATAATAATAGATAATAAAAGCGACAGTGGTTACAGCACACCACCATGCTATCTTAATTAATTAATAGTAGTAGTAATAATTAATCACCAATCACGTACACATAATATATAATATAATAATTATAACCACTCACTCGACCCGGTCGGGTCACTCAGATATCCCGGTCGGGTTTGCACTCCTTGGGCAGGGCCGGGTACCTGACCCGGTCCTGGCAGTAGTTGTAGATGGTGAACTTCTTGCGCACCCAGCGGAGGCGGCGGTACTGGTAGGCGTCCAGGTCCTGGAACTCCTTCTGGTCCCACCACCGCTTCCCCTGAGTGGCGCAGAACTTGGCCTCCACCGACGCCTCACAGCCGTCCACGTGGAAACCCTTGTACGCCGCGATGAAGGGTGCCTTGGACCAGTCCGTCTTCTCGAGCCCGCCGCGCGTGGCCCAGTCGTCGGCGTTCCAGAGGCTGGAGTAGATCTTCATCGGCTGCTCGAACGGGAACTTCACCCCAAGGTTCTTCAGGTTCTTGAACACTCGGATCGGTATGTCGTCCACGAAGAAGCTGCCGCGTGTCCGGAAAAAAAAAAAAGAGTTTCAAAGGGAGCGGTTAGTTTGGGTGTGCTGTGCAACAGAGGAAACTCATGGTCACATGGCTGTCAACATAAAATAATACTTCCGTAATTCTAGGCATTGCGTACGTGAAATATAATAAGTCTAATTATTAGATGGGGTTAGATTAGACTTTTTTAATTTAGACAAAAATTTCAATCTTCTAGTCAAATGGGTCTTTACTTTTTCTTGTGGGGTGATCTGATTCCATATTGGACAAATAAATAATTTCTTATTTTAAATTATTATTATTATTTTATCATTTTTTAAATTTGTATTTATTTAAATGGAATTACAAGCTCTTGTAATTTTATCTAAAAAATATGTCTTTTAAAGACCAAAAATAAGCATTGGAAAAAGTTACAACACGTGAGCCCACGCATGGACTTTCTTGTGTGTGCCCAATACCAAACTGAGGGACAAAATATGCGCATGGGAAGAAGTGCCCGAAATTATGACAATAAAGCTCTGTTTTTAATTTGATAAAATACACTTCTGAAAAAAAAAAAAAAATTTTGATAAAATACACAGTTTGAAAAAGGTGGAAAAACGAAGGAATTCAAAAAGCCAATAATTAGTATTCTCTGTCGCCAGCTAGCCAGTAGCCAGAGTAGAGTAATTCAGGTGGGTGAAAGTTTGAAACTCACTTTTTTTACTGTTTACCTAAATGGTGTTTTCACTTATACAGACAAGTAAAACAGAATGGTAATTAAATAAAGTAATAAACAAGTTTTACTACTTACGCAATGAGATAGTTGTTCCAGAGAACAGAGTAGGAATGGTAAGCCTTGGTTGGGTCGAACCAGAGGAAGATTCTCTGTTCCCTATCCCCCTTGCCGCCGGTGAACACATTGGTCTGCAGAATGTACGGCTGCCCGGTCCGGTTGCCCAAGAACTCGAAATCTATCTCGTCGTGCTCCGAGTTTTGCGAAGATAGCTGCCACATCAAAACTTAATTAGCTACCCATGTCCACAGACAGTACGTTTACTTAATTAGTATTAGTAACAACTTGCCGGGGAAAAAGAACAAGAAGATTTATTTACGTAGAAAGCAGTAACAGTTCCGGCGGAATCTCCGGGAACCATCTTGATCTGCATACTGAAGTGGCCGAACAAGTAAGACCCTTTCGACTGGAAACCCGTCCCTGCCAAAACCAACAACAAAAGACCTTTTCTTTTCAGGAAACACGAGGAGCCCAAATATGAATTAGAAAAAAAACAGGGGATGGGTTGAGAGATTACCGGTGTATTTGTCCAAGACCAGTTGAATGTCGTTGCCGCCATTGTAGTACTTGATGTGGTCGAAAGCCCACGTGGGTGCGTAGTTCCTTCCGAAAGGAACGTTCACGGGCTTCTTCGGTGCAGCAGCCATTGCTCCGGTGAAGACAGTCGCGAGGAGGAGAAACAGGGGAAGCATGGTTTTCATCAGGTGGTGGTGGGAAGCCATTGTTTCTGCAGATTTCAATTCAAGTTAGGGATTACGAATTCAAATAGAAAGGAAGACAGAGGAGAGATTTGGGAGAATGGGATTGAAGGATTACCCGTTGATTGAGGAAACATGAAACAGAGAGAGAGAGGGAAAAGAAAGGGGGGAGAGTGAGATGTGGGGAAACCTCTGTGGCTGGTCCGTGGGTTTATAAAGAGGAGGGCTTCGTGGCAAACTTGCTAGCTCCAATTTGCTTTGTCTCTGTCTCTGTGTTGGGAATACTTTAATGTTTTAACAATCGTTTGGTAGGGATGATTGATTAATACACTATACTAGTAGACAGGGAGAAAAAATTGGTAAAATGAGGTAATAATGTCAAAAAACCCCTCCACCGCTCGACGAGGCTCTTTGGTGGCCACCATCTGCTATAGAGACGGTTGAATCAAAGATGCTTTGCTTGTTTTGGATGTAGGAATAGGAACATCATGGAGAAGTTTTGGAATTAACGATATTAGGCGTTACGTTCTTTTGATTTCCCTATTTCGGAGAGAAACTTCGTAATTTTATGATTACCAATTGTTGAGCTCTAAATTTGTAGAACTATATCCTTTGATTCATAGTCTCGTTGACCAGCGATTACAAATTATTATGAAGCTGTCGCATATATTTATAGGTCGTTTGGATGACGAATTTTAACGGGTCAATTTGGCTTGATTATTTTTTGTTTTGAGATAATTTGACCAAATCTATCCATTTAGCATCATAAAATTTGGATGAACTAATTCGGCCTAAGAAATTTCAAATGGACTCATTTTATTGAGACAATTATAATTGTTGGGGAAGGGTAGACAATTCAAAATTATTCATTTTGTAAAATCAAACAATCTCTATAGTTTTTCTTTGTGGTTTTTGCACTTACGTCTTATTGATTATATTTTGCTATACAAGTGTGGCTGTCTTTCCTAAACACTAGCAAGCGATTAGTATAAATCTATTTTTCATATTTTGTTGTCTCCCCAAATTGTGCTATCAATGATCGAGTTGGCGCCAAAATTCATACCTGGGGGAGATCATATTAGATGACCTTGATCAAATTATTATTATTATTTCGTAATTGACAAATTGAGAATCTTCCAGCCTTAACATATAATAAAATAAAATCTGAATGAATTAATGGCGGCAACGTGGAAACTGGAGGGAGGGGGGAGACAAACAGAAGCAAAACAATGTGAGTTTGGATTGGAAACTGATTTTTCAACACATGCATATATAATACAGAGAGAGAGAGAGAGAGAGAGAGAGAGAGAGAGAGAGAGAGAGAGAGAGAGCCATGGGGTTGGGGATCAATACCTTTCTCTGATCTCTGTCCGTCAACTTCTCCAGATGTTCAGCTCATATAACTGATTACCTTCACCATCGTTATAATTAATGAAACTCCAAACATTTGGCAATAATGTCACACGACAGAATCAATATGCAAATGTCGGAATTCGTTGGCCGATCCAATCATACACTAACAAACGTCCATCCATCCCACACTCAAATCAAAACTTGTCTCTTGGCATAACAAGCTCGAGAAGGAGAGTTCTATATTTGGAGTTGGGGGTTACACACTTTATTTGCTGAAGACCATCCGTAACATAGAACAATCGAGGTGTGTTAATTAACAAGGACGACTCAGATCGTTCACTCTCCTTCAAGCACGGTGGTTGTTGGCATTGTGAGAGGAGATAATGTTAACAACTTTTCGGTGAACGTGATTTCAATTACTCGCGTGTCGAATTGGCTGGTACAGTTCATGGTCTTAGGATTGTTGGGAAACAAAAGGAGCTAGGGAAGTTGTGTTTAATTATGCTTATAGATTCTCACACAATCATCACATCGCCTCTTGTGACGATATATCGACGTTTCCAATTAAAATATATTTTTAATGTAAACTTAAGACTCAATTACCTTGTTTTGCCGTGACACTCTTATTTTGCTGAACATTGAGAGAGCATATTTTCGATCCATCTCACTCGCATAACCCTCTTGGGTTTTGGGAATGGGGGACAGTGAAAATTGGAGGCACCAACACCACATTGTGTACCCATGTTTTTTTTGCTTATTCCATTGGCTCTAACCTTATGTTCAATACTCAATACAAACTGTACTATACTCTTCTTCTATACCCCGGCTTTTCACTACTGACAAAAAAATACATGTAGCACTCTAATTTTAATTTGTTCATGAAACGTAACTGGCTAGGTTAATAAGACCAAAGCGTGGAAGGAGGCAGTAACCTTCATCATCTTTGCATTATTTTATCGTTACTTTTGACCGTATTGAGCATCAAATCCCTGTCTCTTTTATCTTTTCACTGGCCATTGGCCCCTCGAGTAGTTGTTGGACGACAAAGGAGAGAGATGGTGCATGGGCAGCCAGCAGCAGCAAGCTAGCAGCGCGGTGCGTTGTCGTTTCTCGCCGACGGAAAATTGCCCCCATAATCTGAATCTTTCCCCAAGTTACCAAACCAACCGAACTTAGCTAGCATCTAGCAGTGTTCTTCACATGGAAATATGAGCAAATTTAGGGCAGATAGCGCCAGCCACCGCACTCTCTGTTTCCTGCAGTTACAATTTACCCATAACGCCTGCTGCCATATGCCCATATCTTGCTCGTGGCTACCAATACGTAATTTTGTGTAATATCACACCTCGATCGATCGGGTTATAGTGTACTTGTTCGATTTGCCTATCCTATGTCGGGAGACTGAAACAACTCGGACACATTGATCTATCGGTTGAGAACCTGAGGCTGATTATAAAGTGATAAAATACGAACACGACCAATTTGTCTCTAGGGGAATAAAGAAGAGTAGAAGAGGAACCAAGGGTGGGGCTGGGGGCAGGTTTTGTGACGCCACGCCAGTCTCGAGCAGCAGCAGGTCACATGTGCCTTACTATAATGGGCGCGAACAGAGAGATCCGGCCCAGCATCCAGGCCCAGGCCCGGGACTGGACGGACCCGCAAATCGACATACTGCTACACTGTCCACCCGACCACGTGCATGCCTCTGCAGCTGGCTCGGTTCTTTAGGACCCTTCCCCTTCCTTCCTTCCTTTTATTCCCATCATCCTCATCTATTTTAAGCAAGTCCGGCCGTGATTGATTCCCAATCTTCCTATTTTTTTTTCCTTCTCACTTCTCTCTTATGTTTAGCTTACAATTTACATCAATGTTCGTGATATAGGATACCCCCAAGAATGTGGTTGTATCCGTTAAATTCAAGAATTGTGATAAAAAGATATTTTATATTAAATTTTATTTATGGTTTAATTGTTCTGCATCGCTGAAATTATGTATTGGATTGGAATTTGATATTCGATATTTCGTTCCGACCATTGTTTACTATTTATAAAATGTGAGTTAAACTACGGATGACCACTCGTTCACTTATCATTTTAACTCAAATTTGTCATGTATTATAAAAGATTTGATGTGAATTTTACAAATAAATCGTTATCATTGTTAGTAATTGTATATCATATGTAATTAAAAGAAATCTCCCAACAATTTAAATTATTGGAACCAACTAGTTCTTTACATGGTTTCATAGTCTTCTATAACCAAGAGATCAGATCTTCTCTTCAAATCTTGATAACCCTAATTGGTATCAACTCGTTCTTGAGGATTACGTGCACCTGAACATTATTGCAGATTGCAAACGGAGAGATCCAAAAACATTAAGTCATTAACACGTACTAAAAATTCACTTATATGCATAGTAGCCAAATCGATTGAAGAACTCAGGTTGGATATATCCCCAAATTGAATTACATCTCATATTGTACCTCATAAACTATGTTACAAATATAATTTTTTGATTTTACAGTTATACTTTGAAATATTGTAGGCCGAATCTAAGTGGGAATGTAGCTCCATCAACTTTGAAACATAAACAAAATTACATAAACAAAATTACATATAAAATATACACAAATTTTGGAATTAAAATAGTCAACTAGTTTTTAACCTTCCTTTCCCAATTATTAAAATTCAAATAAGTTATTACCTCGTTTAAATTTCTTATTCCGCCGCTGCTTTGAATCATTAGATTGGAACTAATCCAGTTAACTAATTAATAATTACCACAAAAGCAAGTGTTGGTTAATAAAATAATAGTAGTAGAGGGTAAGCACGTGCGAGAGGTATAAGCTTTGGCGTTGCTGGAACCCTTCTGTTGGTTGCAGAGCAAAGACGGGAAACTGGATAATGGCTGGCAATGGCATATGCATAGAGCAGTGACTCGGTCTTGAAATCTGCAAATCGGCTCTGACAGGAAATTTTAATGCATATTATTCATTCCTCCTTCCCACACTATGTGCCAATTGCTATTGCCATGGTGGGAAACCATATTTGATCCATTTCCAATGCCCAGTTACTAGCGGGTAGCCATAAATTTTGTTAAGGTGGGTCAAACAATGCTACTGTGAACGGCAAGTGCAAGTGATAATCGACAGGGTGACTCAAATGTTGAGGAACGCCTTCACATCACAAGCGACGTTTTCCTATAAATAATATAAGATTTTCTTGTCGTTAAACAGAGAATACGCTAGTGAACAAGGAGCGACAAGAGCAACGAGCAGTCTACGACTGTCATAGTTATTGGATTGAGGTTGTGCCTTGTGAGAATTCCGAAAATGTGGTATGTGAGTAGAAGAAAGTAGGTTGTTGATAATATGGGGTGGTGATCTATTAGGGATTGGGATGGGTAATAACGACAGGTGAGGTTGTGTACCTTGGTTTCATGTAAACTAAACTACTAGATATTGATGAATAAATAAATTAGATGTTAAAACATAAAATAAATGGCTCGTAGCTGAACCATGTTATTAAATTCCAAGGATTGGAAAATCGTAATATATTGACGGTTCAACAAGAAAAAAATTCTACTAGAGGCTAAATCGATAGACAATATTTAGCGATATAAAATGATTGAACCACGATTCAACCACAATTTCAACATAAGATACCTATCA